CGGAGCGGGGACGCCCAGGTCGCCGGACGCTGGAACACTGCCTCTACTCGAGGGCTTCTACTCTCTGGCCCCCCGGGTGTGAGTGGGACCTCGGCGCCCTGCTTTGGGTCCCCGCCCGGGTCGCCTGCGCAGCGAAGGAGAGCCCTGTTTTCTGCGGGCGCTACGGGACACCGGAGCGGAGTCCTCCTGTTGGCCTCCCACAGCCTCTGTGTTAGGCCACCCCCAGGACCTCCCTGGTCCTTAGGATAAACTCAGGATCTGGGGACCTCTGGGGTACAGAATTGGAATTTGGAACTGTGGCAGGAGACTGAACGACTGGGGTGTTCCTCGAACTTTCTGATAAGGTGGGGTTGGGTAAAGCATAACAAACACAGTCCTCGGGCCTGTTGATTAAAATTCCTGGATAGATGGTCTGAAACCTTTGAGAGTGACATCACATGGGTCTGCCCTTCACCCTGTGTGGGGCTGACCCCACTGCTTCTGCCCACCAGGATCATCCTATCAGGATGCACAAGAGGAAACCCACCCTTCTGCCGTCCCCAGAGGTGGGGGCGCGGGTGGTGGGTGAGGGCGGCCTCCAGTTGTGGAGGTCCTGTTGTTGGAGGAGGGGGCGGCTGAGGTGGTCAGGTGTGCCCGAAGGGTGGTCTCATAGGCGTGGCCCACTCACCAGTTTAGCTAAAGGCTTCGCCCACCTGTGCCGTGCCCACCTTTTTATGGGGCAAATAGACCCTCGGGGCCCTCTGCACCTGGGGCTTTCCCCAGTTCCTCTGAGACACTGGCTACTGCCACACAGAACCAGATGTCTGTCTCAGTCACTTCCCTTGTCACTGGGACAGAATCCCCAACACGGGAAACTTGAGGAGAGGTTTACTGTGGCTCACATTTTAGAAGTTTCAGTCCTTGCATGATTGGGTTCATGGAGGAAGAGAGGAGAGCTGCTCACCTCATGGCAGACAGGGCTCAGCACGAAGAGCAGAGCCGGGGAGGGAGATGTACCCCTCCAGGTCACACTCCCCAGCAACCTGCCTCTTCTGACAGCCCCCACCTCCTAATACCAAACCAGCTCCAGCAATGTCCCCCAAATCCAACTGTCCTCAAGCTGCCCTCTGAGTGCTTGAGGCTTTGGGAGAACATTCAGGTGTAAACCATAGTGACACTCATAGGTGCTGTCTTAAAATTCTAAAGTAGACTTCAGTCCGAAGAGTAGGAGCTTTGCCTGGGGATGGACACAAAGTCTCCAGAGGATAGTGACTGCATGGAGAAGAATGCAACAAAACGCCACAGGGAGCTGTCGGATTCAGGTTTCCCATGGGTACCCCAAGGGTGCAGGCAGCTGACTGGAAGATGATGAGGTGTAGAGGCGGGTTCGTAGGAAGAGGAGGAGCCAGTACCCTGTGCTGAGCATGTGATGGGCAGGGGTTGCTGTGTGTAGCTGGGGGTCACTGTGCACGAGGGACCTGGAGCACATGCCTCACGATGTCCATGGTGGCACAAAGAGGCTGAGGCAGTCTGTGCGGATTCCTGCGCCTCCTCTGATGTATTGTCCTGATGTATTGTCCATTGTCCTGGAGGCCAGGATTGCCCTTACTCTGGAGTTGTTCCCATGTCCGGCTGGTGGAGAAAGCTTGAGGCTGGAAAGAAGAGAGCTCAGGATGTGGGTGAGAGGGAGTATCAGTGCCACGAGATGCCCCTGCAGGGAGGTGGCTGGGCAGAGGAGACATGTGGCAGGTCATCAGTGTCACAACCAATACAGGAGGGGCGGTGTCCCAGATAAATAGAAGGACGGTGGGGTGCATAGCAGCTGAACTGGGGTAAATCTGGAGAACCCTAGGTGGTTGTTGTCGTCTGCCAGCCCGCTCATGTAACAAGGTCAGGGAGCTTGGACTGGGAGGGCAAGGCGTGGAAACAAAAGGGAAATTCTGGGGAGGTTTCTGGAACACTTCCGTTTTATTGAGGAAATGTACAGATTTATATGTGGTAAGGCGGAGGTGGAGCCAGGCTGGTGCTACTGGATCGCTATTGGATAGGGTAAGGCGGGGGTGGAGCCAGGGTGGAGTCGGGATATTTGGCACATGTTATTGGCCACATGTTAATTTTTGGATTGTATGTTTTAGGGGCTGAGGCAATGGAGTCAGGACTTTAGAGGCTTTTGAGAGGAACAGTTTATCTGTCTAAGGTCAGATCTCTACACACCCGAGGGGGCGGATTATTCCAGCCCTAATAGGCCTTGCCTTGGAGTTTTCTCGCAAGAGATGGGTGCCGCGCTCCTGACTCAGCTAGACATGAACCTGATCCTCAGGTGGTCTGGGTAGGATGCTGAGGGAATGAAGATTTTATAGGATGTAGTCGAAGACAACTTTTCTTTTCTTTTTTTGTCTTTGTTTTCTTGAGTCACTCTATGTAGTTCAGTCTGGCCTTGAACTCACTGTGTGGCCCAGGCTGGCCTTGGACTTGCTGTGATCCTCATGCCTCAGCCTCCCTAGTGCTGTGATTACAGGAATATGTCACCATGCTGGCCTTGCTAGAGACAACTTTATGTCTCCACTTTGGCTCAGAAACCTGGCAAGAGTTGGGGAAGTGGATGCCAGGATAAAGATTATTAATGGATTCCCCTGCTCGTCAAGGTGATTTCTCTAACTGACAGCTCCAAGACTCTTCTCTCAGGAGCCACTGGGTGGAAGGCTGACAACTATCCACTGAAGTGCTGAAGGAGGGGCAGAGGTCGAGGTAGGGCCAGTGGGTGTGAGGATGGCGAGTGGATGAGCAAGAGAGACTTTAATCTGGGATCAGGAGCCTGTACGTTTGAATCCACTTGAGAGACATAAATAGCAATTTAATAGGTGTCATGTTTTGAAAATGTTAAATCTGAGTAATTTTACCACATCCCCCAGACCAGTCAGTTTTCTACTTTAAAAACAAAAGGGACTTATTTAGCTCACAGGATTGGAGGTTCAAGGATGAGGTGCTGGGAGCTCTGGTGGAGACCTCAGGGCAGCTGTGAAGGAGGAGGTCCGGGTGAGACAGAAAACAGGGTCCCAGAAGAGCCCACGAATCCCTTCCAAGGGCACCACCTCTTAGGCCAAGGTCCCACCAGCTCTTAACACAGCCACAGGGCGCTGGTGGTGCCTCTGTGGCACAGAGCTGCAGGGGGCACACAGAGCCCTCTCTGTCGGCTTGCAAGCCAGGTCACCTCAGCACACCAGGTGTAAACTTTTACCTTTCAATAAGAAGCTGTTTGTATCATTGAAAGCTCTGTTATTGTGTTTTCCTTTTAAGACAAATATATTAATGTATGAATGGGTTTTTTTCTAAAGTAAAACCTCAGTATTCAGGTTTAATGGCAGTGTTGGAGATGGTTTAATGGCACTTGGAGATAAGTGGGTTTTGGTTTGCAGTTTGGGTGCTCGTTTCTAAAAGATTTACCTTCAGTGCCATAGAGAAACAAGCTTCTAACATGTGAAACCCTGGGGGAACTCACATCTGAACCGTGGCTGCCCACAGCAGGACTCGCTCCATTGTCCTTAATACAGGGAATTGGCGAAGACTAATTCCATTTCAGAAAAACATCACTCAAAGATTTGGTGCTTCGAGGGTGGAACTGTTGGGTCAGCCTGACATTGCTACATTGAGGTACATTGAGAACTGGCCCTGGCCGCTGCTACTCCAGATATTTGTTAGTGGGTGCATAAGGAGAAAAGAGGGCTCAGGGCTTCTGAGGTGAAATGGATTTTCAAATTTCTTGTAAATTGTTTTTGAAATTTTCATTGTGCTTTCTGAAAGTGATTCTTTTTGTAGACAAAGTCACATAGTCCTCCAAGTTCAAAAGGATTATTGTTGTGGTTGAAATATGAGTGTCCCCAAAGACTCAGGTATTAAGACTCATTGATTCACAATGCAGCAATGTTCAGAGATGGGGTCTGGAGAAGTGATTGGGTCACAAGGGTATTATGACCAGTGGATTAATTTGTTGATGAGTTCACAGCTGAATGGGACATAAGGCAGTGGGCTCATTGCAGGAAGAGGTCCCTGAGAAGTCTCTTTAAAGGGTCTGTCTTATCCCTAACCCCTTATGTCTTCCCCTTCTCACCTGTGTCTCCTGACTGGCATGAGATGAACCCCTTGGCTCCACCACCCGCTCCTTACCATGGTGTGCTGTCTTACCAGGGCCCACACACAATGGGGCCACCTTACTATGGACTGAACCTTCTGGAACTATGAGCAATAACACACTTTCCTTTATTTTTCTCAGGTGTTTTACCACAGTAATGGAAAGATGACTGACACAGTTATATAAGTAAACTTTTAAAAATTATAAAACATGGATACCGATCCTCTGGAGCTTGATTCATTAATACATACAAAAACCCTTGAAAAAATTATACCCTTTAATCCAGAAATTCTATTTTATATCCTTATCTTATGGGGATAATGAAGCAGCTAAATATTTCACTACAGAGATACTGACAACAGTATAGTTTGTGATAACAAGGAATTGGACATAACTCAAATTTCCTGCAACTTGATTAAAATGTGATAAAAATCTTTT